GTCTAGGGGCTTTGGGCTTTGGGGGGTCTAGAGCTTCGCTGGCCCCCCAAGCTCAAGTGACAAGGCGTCAGACGGCCCATCCTCCGTCAGCTCCGTCACAGAGGGAGGGGCCAAAGGAGGGAAGGGCTCCTCCTCCGCCATGTGGGGAGCACTACCTCCTCAGAGGTTGAGGAGTAGCCCCCTCCAAAAGGTTGAAGGATGCTCCGAAGCTGTCGATGTCTTAAGAAGAGGGGAAGGGGGGGGGGGGGGGGTGGAAGGGTTTTGGGGAGTTTCTCCTGACTTGGGTTGCGGGCAAGTCTGAGCCTAAGCCTTATGAGAAGGGTCTTTGAACTAGGTCCGGTCCCTCTGTCAGGGGCCCTGCTATGCTCTACTCTCCTCCGTGGGGCTGAGACATGGCCTATGGCTCTGAGCCGGCAGCTCTTGGGTCGAGGGCAAGCAGCGAATATCCCTGTAGCCCAAAACATAAACCACCCAACCCCCAAGCCCCGAGCCCTGAGCCGGGAAAGCTGTGCAGGGCACAGGCATTGCTTTCCTTGGGCAGCCCTCGGGCACTGCCTGGCCTTTTTGGCAGCCATCCATGCCCGCGTCGCCTGAGCCACAACGCGCTGGCAGTTCAGAGGGGGGCAGTTCGGAGGGGCTTCAGGTGTTCAGTGCTTTGGCCACGTCGCTCACCCAGACCTTCCCCGCGGAACCCCAATATTTTTGTAAACCAACCTTCCACCAGGGGGCTTACGATATGAGGTGTACCCTCTTGGGGTTCTTATCAAAAGGGCACTTTTTGGGGGGTCGAAACTAGGGCTCCCTTAGTACCGCAAACCCCCACCACCAGCGTGTCCGGAGTCCAGAGTCATGCCGACCTCGCCCATATTGTTCGAGGCTCGGTTTGGCCATGTAATCCCCTCCCCCTAATATTAAACCTCCCCTAGCCCCTAATATTCAATACCACCCAGTATACTGTAATGTAACCATGATGGAGGGTGCTTAGTATTAGGGGGGGTAGGGGGTTTAACATTTTTGGGAAGGGACTAAGCCCCCCCTGAAAAGACTCCTCACTAAGATCCCCTTCAGCTTGAAGGAGCAATCTTAGATATCCCCAAGGCCCCGAGCTGAGCAGAGTATCGGGCTTAGGTTTCAGGTTAGGGCTGTAGGGTTTTGAGGGTGTAGAGGTTTCGTGGAATTGGGTTTCTGGGCTTTGTGGAAGAAACCTACTCAAAGCTGAAAACCCCCAGCCGGCTCCCTGAACCATGAGCTTTGAAACATAAAAAGTGCCCCCCCCCACCCCCCCCCCACCCCCCCCAAGACTCCATAGAAGAAGAGGAGTTAGGGAGGGTCGTGGCGGTTCAGGGCCAGGGTTTGGGGTCTAGGGTCTAGGGTCTAGGGTCTAGGGTCTAGGGTTTAGGGTTCAGGGTTCAGGGTTTTAGGGGGTGTTTAGGGTTTAGGTTGTTTAGGTTTAGGGTTTAGGGTTTATGTTTAGGGTTTAGGGCTTAGGGGCTTTTGGGCTCATGAGCCCACGGCTGAAGTGAAAGGGATCTTCCGGACCTGGGCTTGGCGGTGGCGGCTGAAAAAGTTAACAATGGCGTTTGCTTTTTTTTTTTTTTTTTTTTTTTTGGGGGGGGGGGGGGGTGGTAGGAATTGAAGGGGTTTGGACAAGACGATTGTTGAAGACTTAGGGTCCGGGGATTTAGCGGTTATGGATTTGGGGGCTTTAGCAGTTACAGAAGTGTTGAGAGTAAGAACTTCAGGGCCTTCTGTGTTTTGGGTTTTGTGATTTGGGGAGTGCTGAGATCTCAAGCCCCATCAACCATAAACCCTAGGCCCGTGGCAATATCATCTCAAGCTCAAAGTAGCAATTCCACTCTGACCGGTTTTCTCTAAGCCCTCAACCCTGAAACAATACAACCCCACACCCAAGACATCAGCGTTCCCTAAACCCTTCACCCTAAACCCTCAACCCTAAGCCCTAAACCCTAAACCCTAAACCCCAAATTCCCCGAAGTTGAGGGGCGCCTGCGTGCGCGACGTGTCTCGGACCTCCTTCATTTCGGAGTAGAAGTTCTGGAGCCTTTGCAAGGCACGGGGCTTCAATCGGCTTGGCCTCCCCAGGATTCCCTAAGCCCCTGAACTCCTAAACCCAAAACCATGCACTGTTCTTGGAGGAGGCTCCCACCGAGGTCTCCTGAGGTTTTGGGTTTAGGGTTTAGGGTTTAGGGCTTAGGGTTTAGGGTTTAGGGTTTAGGGTTTAGGGTTTAGGGTTTAGGGTTTAGGGTCCGCCGACCCTGGCGGCGTTGGATGGGTTTGAGGAGGTGAAAACCTCCCTCTTTTTCCCTCCATTACCCCCCCAAAACGCGGGGTAGGGGGGGTCGGTGCACAATTTTTTTGGAGGACTGCGCCACCCGCACAGCGTAAACAGGCGGTTCAGCACAGGGGGGTAGGGGCGCCCTCAGCAAAATCAGCGTTTTCGGCACCACCCCCCCCCCCCACCCCCTGCCCCCCCCACCCCTGCCCCCCCCCCCCACCCCCCCCCCCCCAACCCCCTCCCCCCCCCCAACCCCCACCAACTGCCTTTTTGGCTTGAGCTTGGTCTTGGTGCTACCCCTACCCCCCCCCCCCCCCCAAACGTTTCACAAAACTCTGCCGAGCAGGCTGGGATGATCTTCGAACCATGCGAGCGGGTTTAGACCTCTCAACTCGGCGGCTTGAGCCGGAGGCTCTTAAATTTAGGGTTTAGGGTTCAGGGTTCAGGGTTTAGGGTTTAGGGTTCAGGGTTTAGGGTTTAGGGTTCAGGGTTTAGGGTTTAGGGTGTCGAGTTTAAAGTTAAGATTTCGGGTTTCGGGATTCGGGTTTACGGCCTCCTCCTTACTGGCTGAAGCCGCAGCCACTGCCAGAGCAAGTCAGGCACGCCCGAAGTCTTAAAATGCCGATGGCCCTCTCTGTGCCCTACCCAACCCCCAACCCCAAAGCCTACAAACTCCCACCTGAACCCGAAACCCCAAACCCCAAACCCGAAACCCTACAAACCCCAAACCCGAAACCCCAAACCCCAAACCCCAAACCCTAAACCCTAAACCCTAAACCCCAAACCCTAAACCCTAAACCAAACCCCAAAGCCACCCCCACACTCCCTGGATTCGCCGCTCTGTGCTCCCCACTTCTGCTCGGCGCGATCAGCGAACCTGGCGGAAATGACCTGCTCCAAGGCGGCTTGGGGGGTTGAGGGGCTTGGTGGATGTAGGGGTTTTTCAGGTTTAGGGGTTCAGGGGTTTAGGGGGTTTAGGGGGTTTAGGGGGTTTAGGGGTTATGGTTTGGGGTCCGTTTGGAGGTTCATGGTTCAGGGTTTAGGGGCCTAGCAAGGGCTACGTTGGGGGCCGTTGCCCCAAAAACGTCCGGAAAGCAGGTGCATCTGCTGAGGCTTTTCACAGGCAGAGGATGTTTTGGCCGGCAGCCCAGGTTCAGGCTGCCTCCGATCAGCGCCCACTTGAAGGTGGGCTTAGGTTTCTTATCGGGCAGAGGCAGGGTTTAGTCTAGGGTTTAGGGGATAGGGTGGGAGGGCTTCAGGGTTGAGACTCGAAACTGCTCCCGCAGGAGCTCGCAAGTCTTGGACGACCCGATCCAACTTTGGAATCGGCAGTGGAAGCTAGGCAGCTAGGTCCCCCAGTAAGGCGGGCAGAAGCAGGGGGGCCGATTTAGTTAGAAATGAACTGTATGTTGAGTAGAGTTCGTTAAGCTTGGGCTCCTGCAATACTGGGTCCTAGGAAAGGGCATCACAGAAGCCAGGCATCTTGTGCGTCGTTCTTCGAGGACTTCCGCTTGGAGCCTGCCAGGGGCAGCTTCAACAACCCTGCCTGTCGAACTTCCTGAACGGCCCCAAGCCAAGAACCCTGAACCCTGAACCCTAAACCCTGAACCCTAAACCCGAACCCTAAACCCTGAACCCTAAACCCTAAACCCTGAACCCTAAACCCTAAACCCTGAACCCTGAACCCTAAACCCTAAACCATGAACAACCCGAGAGCGATGCATAGGGCTCCATCTCTCAAGCGCGCGGCAGCGGCAGATGACAAAGAAGCTACTTCCGCGTTGGGCATCAGACCTCCTGCTAGCCCACCTCAGAGCCCTCCCCCAGGACGACTATAGAGGCCTTAATCATTAGAATAGGGTTTTGGGGGATGTTATTTTGTATAAGTATGAAGGGGCCATAAGGGAGTACTACCCGCACTTATTCCGACCCCGATCTTCTCCGGAAGCATTGCTGCCTTTCGCACGAGGCGCGTCGGGCGGTGCGGAGATCTCGGCGCAGCGTGCAAGGAGCAGGGGGTTTACTATACTCCCCTTAGAACCTTACTTGGGTTTTATATAAACAAACGTGAAACAATAATTCCCAAGGGGGATAGAGTTTAGGGCCATGGGACAGTCAGTGGGCGCAGATCAACAATCTAAGGTGCGCAAAGTGAGGCTCCGTTTTGCGGCAGGCTGCCAGGCTGCATGTCTCTTCTTGGTAGCCCAGAAACCATCTTATAACAAGGGCGCCCTTTTTTGGGTTGGTTGGTTGCTTTATATGGGAACCTTGAGCCAAAAAAAGGGGGAAAAGGTACCACTGGGCTACCATGTCTCTTTGCAACGGGTGAGAACGTTGAATTGCGTGGCCTCGCAAAGCTCTGCTTAGCGCGGCCTTCGTTAGCAAATCGAGCTGCTCTCCTCTGCTACTGCTTCGACATGACCTGCCCAGTTGCCGGGTTTTAGGCGAGAGTTTGTAGTGTTGCTAGAGCCCACTGGCAGGCTTGCGGGTGCGAAGAAGAACAGATCTAGCCAGTGCGCGCACCATGCTGCGCCCGCTCTACTTGGAGGCCCAAAGGCGCGCAACTGGGTACTAGTATGGCCTTACTAGGGGAGAACATGTCCAGAAACTTTAAGGGCCTACCATGGATAGATGGCATGTCGACAGCTATGACCTCACCGAATCTCCCCACGAAAGGCACACCAAATTCTGACAGACTTCCTACTCACCATGCAGCCGCCCCAAGACCCAGGTGAACGACCTGGCTTTGTCGCTGGTGCTTGGCCGTCTACAGAATGCCGACCAGCAAAACGAGCTGAAGGCCGGAATGATCGAAGGTTTAGGTTTTAGAGTGTAGGGTTTAGGATTTAGGTTTTAGGGTTTAGGGCTTGAAGGTTTAGGGATTGAAGGTTTAGGGTGTAGTTTTGGATTCAGGGCATGGAATCCAGGAAGTCTACGCCAGCGAACTCACCACAGGGGATCCGAACAACTAGCGGGCTCGTGTTTGGGTCCTTTCCTACAAGGAATTCTTCGACATGTGGCATAAAGGGTCCCCGACAATTCTGTGGAAACTCCCAGATCACAGTGCGTTACTTCGAGCCGTCCATGGCATGCAGCCGCTGCCGGTTTGCAGCCGTGTGGCGATGCCAATGAAGATCCACCAGCCAACCGCCGCCTCGTCAATTCTACATACTGGGATGGTCGCCCTTCTACTAACCGTCCTCAATGTGGATTAATACAGGGGGGTACTACCACCCCAATTATGGACTGTTAGTACGAATAGGGGGGAACATCCCAATCTACATACATAAACTCCCAAGCGGTGAATGGCTAACCCCCTACGGGTGTTTCCGAAAATAGGGGTACCCTTTCTGGGGAATATTCAGTCCAATATTCAGGGTACCCCTATTGTGGAAAGTGCTTCATTCAGGACAAGGGTTTGTTTCGGGTCGCTTATCATGACGGCCGTCGTCGTCGTCGTCGTCGTCGTAGAAGTAATAGTAGTAGTAGTAGTAGTAGTAGTAGTAGTAGTAGTAGTAGTAGTAGTAGTAGTAGTAGTAGTAGTAGCAGTAGTAACAGCAGCAGCATCATCATCATCATCATCATCATCCTGCCTGGTGTAGCCCATGACTTGGCAGCACTTGAGCTCTTGCGACAGGCGTCCTGGGGAGGGGGGGGCAAGAATGGGGGTGTAGGGCACATGTTCGGGCATTAGCCTAAATATTGACTCCGATGAACCTTCAAGACTTTGAATCAGACTTTAGGCAAGTTCTCTCCAAACCTGTTGACATTGACAACAGAATTACATGTAGTGCACAGGTTTTGTTACCATGACCTACTGTTTTCTGCACCCACCCGACTTGTTCATGTCTTGTACCCCGTCGGTTCAACGCTGCGTCACACCTTTCAGTGGGGTTTAGGGTTTAGGGTTTAGGGTTTAGGGTTTGGGGTTTAGGGTTTAAGGTTTAGGGTTTAGGGCTTAGGGTTTAGGGTTTAGGGCTTCGGGTTCAGGCTGTAGGGTTTAGACAGACGGCTGTTGGTTTTCAGGCTCGGAGCTGCCGGCTCCTAAAGGCACTAGGCAAAGAATGCGTCTCGAGCTTCAGCGTCCTTCAAAAACCCGTTTAGGGATTCGGAGGGTTTTTTTGGGGTGTAGGGGTTAGGGGCGTGGGGAAACAGTAACCACGGTAGCTTGCGGAAAGCAACCGCCTACTAAACCCCCAGAGCAGAAATTCTAAGCAAAAATGCAAGGGTTTAGGCTTTAGGGTTCTAGGATTTATGGTGGAGGGTGTAGGGTTTAGGGCTTAGGGTTTAGGTTTTAGGGCTTAAGGTTTGGGGTAGGGTTTAGGAGATTAGGTTTAGAACAAGACCCCAAACTGCCCTCTTGGTCCTGATCTCGCCCATGTAAGGTGTGGCTCCTGTGTACGGCTGCTGCAGTCGTCCTCTCAGGGGGGCATCGGATCATGGAGGACGCGGGGTCCTAAATCAATTGTAGGGATTAGGGGTGTAGGGGTTGAGGGTTTAGGTAGGGGTTCAGGATGTCTTGTTTAGTTTTTTTTGTTGAGGGGGGGGGGGGGGGGGGGGGGGCTAGGAATACCGAGACTCCCTAGCAAGAGAGACGAGAGAGAAGAAAGCAAAACTCCTTAACCATAACCCTAAGCTCCCAAGAAACTACGGATAATGTTTAGTTGCTGAGGCCCCTAGACCAGCTTGCTGACGATATAGAAGTGCAAAGCAAGCAACCCCCTGAAAAAACCTGGAAGTATGAGGTACAGCCAGAGACCACATCTTTCTCGGGGTCCTCCGGAACAATAGCCCGACTTGCAGGCAAACTGCGAGCAGTCAGGATAGTGCATGGTGTTCCACGGCTTGTCCTCAAGCCAAGGACGGGGGGTTTAGGGTTTAGGGTTTAGGGTTTAGGGTTTAGGGTTTAGGGTTTAGGGTTTAGGGTCTAGTAGTTTTGGGGTCTAAACCAAAACCCCCAAGAAACCCCCACACTTTCGAAGCAACGCCCCTGGAAACGCCCAGCAGCCTCAACCCCTGTTACCCATTCAAGCCCTCTGAACCCTTGATGGGGTTCTTCAGGGGGGGGGGGGGGGGGGGGGGGGGGGGTGGGTTCAAAGGGGGGTATGTAGCCCAATGTTCCCGAATGCTCCCTGCTATTCCCTAAGGCTTTCTAAGCTTCCCTCACGTTCCCCAGGTACCTAGGAGTACCCGCCCATGATCCCCCGTCCCTTAAGAACCCTATGAACCCTGAACCCTATATAAGCCCGACCTCAACCCCTAGACATAAATCCCTAAACCCCTACCCTAAACTCTGAACCCGTAAACCCCAAAGCAGCCCAAAACCCCAACCCTAAACCCAAAAACCCTTAAACCCCTAAGCAGCCCCAAGCCCCCGCCCCCGTTCCGATTAAAAAGGGGAAGTTTGAGGGCTTACGAAAATGAGGGACCACCAGAACAGATCCCCAAATAGTAGAAGAAGGACCCCAAAAAAGTACCCCTAAACCCTAAACCCTAAACCCGAAACCCTAAACCCTAACCCCCAAAAAAAGTTGGGAAACCCCATTTGGGTATTGGGGGAAGCTAAAGGTGGGGATCCGGTAGGTTTGGTGCCCATGTCTCGGCTTGCCCTTTTGAGGGTTACGTTTAGGGTTTAGGGTTTAGGGTTTAGGGTTTAGGGTTTAGGGTTTAGGGTTTAGGGTTTAGGGTTTAGGGTTTAGGGTTTAGGGTTTAGGGTGTAGGGTGTAGGGTGTAGGGTGTAGGGTTTAAGGTCTAGGGGTTCGGAGTGTGGGGTTTCAGGTTGCAGGGTTTGGGCAGGGCCCAAACTTGGAGACCGAAGACCCAAAGCCCTAAACCCTAAGCCCGCCAAACGCATCGTGGAGTGGATAGAAACTAGGCTGCCCAGTAACCTAGGCTTAAAAGGGGTGCCCTTTTTTGCTTAAAGGGGTTTATGAGGGAACCTAAACCCCCCAAGAAGGGAATGAGGGCACTACTGGGCATCCTAGGAAAGGAGTCTGGCTACTTTTGCACATGACAGGGCTGACATGCGGTGCGGCCGAGCATCAAACTTCACAAACATTGAACCCCACTCCACGCACTCCTCCGCCGTCGAGCGTTGAGGGGTTGCAGTGGCATCACCCGACATTCTCCGACACTCTACAGCTGAACGGTGGAGGAGCGTTGTTGGGAAGAAGCGGCTTGCTCAGGAAGCTGGCAGGCTCTCGCTACTGCGTGGCTACATGCTGGTCACAACAGCTAACGGAATGGAGCGGCCCCGTTGAAGAAGTCTTGCACCAAGTAGAGGTTCATGGGGTAGAACCTGACGTGCATCAAGCCATTATGAATATGAGTACTATATTTATTCTTTATGATTCTAATTATTGTCATTATTAGTATTGTCATTATTATTATTGTTATTATGATTGTTGTCAGTACTATTATTCGTCGTATACACAGCGTGGAGGATCAAGCAGAGCACACCAGCGTGGGTGGGCTCAGAAGTGGAGGTGGCATTACTTTCCACGGCCTCCCGGAACGACGCTCACGCGAAGACCCTAAAGCCCTAACCCCAAACTTCAACTGAAGCCAGGAATCACATCTCTCCAGTATTCTGCATCCGCAGATGTCCCAGAGCAGATATTCCCGTTGTGGCGCCGGACCTGGCGAGTGCTGCAGTTTCGGGCGTGACCGATTAGTGCAAGATTCTGGGTTATGCACATCACCTTCGACTTCAATCAGGATCGCTAGGGTTTAGGGTTCAGGGTCGCTAGGTCTTGGGGGTTAATTTGGGTAGCTCAGATCCTCTCGAGGCATTTCCCAACTTCCAACTCTCGGATTGTCGCCCCCAGTACTACCCGAAACGGGACCCTGCTTTGGCTGCGATGGGCCAAGGCACAAGTATACCGTTGCCGAGGCCATCCATGTTGCCGCACCTGCGGTGGACGGTCGAAACCGCGGACTGCAGGGTTTTTAGGTTGCAGGTTGAGATGGTTGAGGAGCTAGGCGTTGGATCGCAGGTTAGAAGTTTCGCAGTTAGGGCGAGGAAACTGGCTCGTGATTTGCAGGTGGGTGTGTTGAAACTGGGAGTCACATCCAGCATGTTTGTCAAGGTGTCCCGGAACTTTGATGCCTTTCTTTGGCAGGACCACGACAATCAACAAAGCCCCAGAACCACTGGGAGACCCTCAAGCCCCAAATCTTAAATCCTAAACGCTTCAACCTCCGAAAACAGTTGCCATTCAGGGCAGGTTGAGGGAACCCTTTCGAAACTCTGAAGCCCTAAAAGTCCTAAAGCCCCCCCCTCCCCCCCCCCCTCCCAAAAAAAAACGAAAAACGAAGAAGAGGCACATCAGCTTGAAGTTCATGACGTTCGGGTTTATGACCTTCGCGGACATAGGCTGGAAGCTTGTGGATATGACTCTAGGGTTCAGGGTTCAGGGTTCAGGGTTCAGGGTTTAGGGTCCGCCGACCCCAACGGCGTGTTGGATGGGTTTGGGGAGGTGAAAACCTCCCTCTTTCCCTCCTTACCCCAAAAAAAACAGAGGGGGGGGGGGGGTAGGGGGGGTACCCCGGCAGCTTTTCCACATAGAGGGGCAGGCCACAACTCATGGACCCAGAGGAAACCCTTACCCCTACCCCCCCCCCCCCCAACCCTTCCCCCCCTACCCCCCCAACCCCCCCTCCCCCCCCTCCCCCTTCCCCCCCTCCCCCCCTCCTACCCTCCGCAAGCAGGACCCCCCCACCACGCAGTTTCAGGGTCGTAGGCAGTAAACAGCCCTCTAGGCATTAAAGGCCCTTTCAGGGCGCCTCAAAAGCTTACTGCCCCGAAGCTCGACAGGGCTTTTGGGTTAGCACCCGACACCAGGATGCTCAAAACCTCAAAAGCACTCCGGGCAGCCGATCCGGCAACAGTGGTTGTGAAGGATTTACTTGGAGGTTCATGGTACGGGTTTAGGGTTTAGGGTTTGGGGTTTAGGGTTTAGGGTTTAGGGTTTAGGGTTTAGGGTTTAGGGTTTAGGGTTTAGGGTTTAGGGTTTAGGGTTTAGGGTGTAGGGTGTAGGGTGTAGGGTGTAGGGTTTAGGGTTTCTTTCAAAAAACTGTACTTATCACCCACTTATAAGCCGCTGAAGTGCCCGGATGTGGCTAAAAATCTTGGGTCCAGGAGTACTACGTGGCAAAAAGGCACACCAGGTTATTTATCCCCTTTTCCGCCCGTCCCTGAAGAACCCGAAACGATAACTTATTTGGCTGGACCTTTCACCCAAAGCCCCACAACTCTCTTAACGCCCCCTAAGCTCTGACCCTGACGTGCCGAGCCCCCAAAATTTTGTGAACCCCTCTCATACGCCAACAGATTAAAACCCAACAACCTGAACTGTACACTACCACCCCACCCACCCCACCCCAGAACCGTAATGCAAACCATATTGGCGATGTCCTCTTATCTAGGGTACCCCAAAGGGGACCATGGTTGAGAGAACTGACCATGTGCTTTAAGTATTCCCTTTTGGTTACCCTAAACCCTAAACCCTAAACCCTAAACCCTAAACCCTAAACCCTAAACCCTAAACCCTAAACCCTAAGTCACTGATGCCAAATTGAGGCTTGCGGCCGCCGCGGTCCAATTGGAAGGGCGCGTCGATGCCTCAGCGCCCCGAAGAATCTACTACCCTTAGAGCCTTAATGACAAGGGTTTAGGGTTTAGGGTTTAGGGTTTAGGGTTTGGGGTTTGGGGTTTAGGGTTTAGGGTTTGGGGTTTAGGGCTTAGGGTTTTTAATATCTTCTTGGGTTCTATATGAACAAAAATATGAAAACAATAATTCCCAAGGGGGGTATAGAAGAGGGTGCTGGCTTTTGTGGCTGCACTCTACTCTTTAGGGTTTTAGGGTGTTAGGGTCTTAGGGTTTTGGGGTTTTAGCTGCTCCCTTTCCGCAGAAGCCAGCGATCAGTGACACATCACTTCGTTCTCATGTAGCTACGCAGGGTTTAGGCTTTAGGGCTTAGGGCTTAGGGCTTAGGGCTTAGGGTTTACGGTTTAGGGTTTAGGGTTTAGGGTCTAGGGTTTAGGGCTTCAATCACTTCAAATTCTGAACCCTTTTGGGGCACCTGTTACATTAGGGCACCAAACGAAGCTCTTTGCAGCTAGGGCGCATCTACATAGTCAAGGCAGTGCTGAGACCCGCGATAGACCCTCCACTGGAATCTGTTGTACTGGAAGGAGCTGAACTCATTCACCTGCACGGGGTTTAGGGTTTAGGGTTTAGGGTTTAGGGTTTAGGGTTTAGGGTTTAGGGTTTAGGGTTTAGGGTTTAGGGTTTAGGGTTTAGGGTTTAGGGTTTAGGGTTTAGGGTTTAGGGTTTAGGGTTTAGGGTTAATGCCCCTCCTGCAGAACAAACAGCTTGCCTGAAACTCACTGGTGCAGCTCGCGTCCGAGTAGAACCTTACAGCACGGGCTGCGTGGGCATCAGGGCATCTAGGCAGCTGCCCCTCTGCAAGAAGGCACTATTCTTCATACTTGCATTGCTAGGACAAAAACAGCGATGCCGTCATGTTGACGTACCGGGCGAGACTTAAACACATGCTCCGAATTGGTGCCCAATAATACCAAGCCGAAGCCCCGGCACCTGCACCAGATCATAATTGCGTGGAAGCTGCTGCAGGAAGTATCTGGCCTCATACGCCACATCCGCACCTGAACCACTGAGACGGCTCTTCTTCCCCGAGCTTGGAAGAAGTCTGGGGGATCCCAAGACGATCGAATCCAGGGTCTGAGGGGATAGGGTTGAGGGTTTCATGCCTGGGGTTTCTTGCAGAGGTTGATTGAGGTTGTCGCGGGGTTGAGGTCTTCTAGGCATCCTAACCTTGCGGTGCCTTAAGCAGCCCTAAAATCTGGGTCCGGTTTGTCCAGTTTGTGCTTGGTCCTCTGTGATATGTTTAAAGGGCTGGCGCACAAAGAGCCTGGACTTCAAAACAGACTCACGCACGCATGAACAGAGCCTACAGTGGGCCTACCGCCATAGTTTGTCTCACCACCCACCCTAACTCGCACATTCCCCCTTAAAGCCCCGAAGCGCCCTCAAAGGCTCATGCAAGATTGCAGGAACCTAGATCAAGCGCCTTCGTATTCGTTTGCTCAGACGGGCTTGAGCGCCGAGCAATCGCAAAAACACTCCAGCAAGTGGGCCCACAGCAAAAACTGAATCCGGCGAAGCTCAAAATCCTCACTAATGCGGGTTGAGGTTTGGAGGTTTGAGCCTTGACCCGTTAAGGTTTCGGGCCTGTAGGGCCGATGCCCTGAAGCCGCAACTTCCTAAACTCTAAGCCTAAACTCCCTCAACTCGCAAACCTCTGAACCACCCTACGTAGGTGCTCGACGGCTCCCATTCCCGCAAGAGGCTCTCTTCGGGCCTTCGCCAACATCCACCGCGCCCTGTGCTTTGCAGTCCGGATAGGAGGTCACCTTTGCCGAAGGCTTCGCATTGGGATGTTCCCCCCCTAATTACCAACAGTTCTTTGGGGGGGGGTGCGAGAATCCCTAGTAAGGAGCTGTTAGAATAAGGGGAAGCATCCCAAGCTTCGCATGCTGGCGGCGAAAGGGGTTGAGGAAATTGCAGATTCGTGCATTCGGTTCGTGAACTTCATGCATTCGCTCACTGGCTCGCCTTCTTTACAATTCGCTTCACGCACTCTCTTCACATAACCTTACAGTAATACCGCGTGCATGAATTGTATTTACTATTGGCACGCGAGGGTTTTTTCTACTACTACTAATCATTAGTATCAGTATTATGGATATTGTTTCTATGGTGCTCGTTTCACCCACGGGTTCCGTACTAAAAGTTTGAACCAGTGAGCCAGCGAACGGGAAAACAATAATGAAGAGATTTCTACTGGAAAAATCCTCAATCATAAGCTGTGTTCTGGTGCTCGCTAAAAGACCCAGCGAAATACAGTGGTTTTAGTGGGTCTTTTGCAGCACATGCAATACAATAATGGGCTGCAATACATAAAATGCAAGGCGTGAAAGAACGCGCGATTTCTTTTAATCTTGACTCGCCTGTACAGTTCGTTCATGGATTCGCTCACTGTACTCGAAAGGCATTATTGCGTTTACCGCGGGCCAAAAGACCCTACGAAACGCACGAATTGCATTCATTTCATGCTACTATTGTTACTAGTACGCTGTTGCTACTATTGTTACTTCTATCACGATCACTACTATTGTTACCATTTCTACTAAGATTGCTAGTTTGACGATTCTTACGGTTCTTGCCATTTTTGTATATCACATGCTATTCTCACGACTTTTGCTATATTTACAATTTCTACCACGAAGCTAGGACTATACAATTCAAGGGCCTTACCTCGAAACCACCCAAGGGCCACCTACTCTGGCACCTCCCCCCCGCCCTCGATGTCCTCCATAAACCCCTTTTGAGGGCCCGGCAGGCTTGTTGAACTTCATGTACATGCCTCTCAGGGTTTGGGGGTTTAGGGTTCAGGGCTTGGGGTTGAGGGTTTGGGGTTTAGGGCTACAGGGCTTAGGCTTAGGGCTTAGGCTGGAGAGAGGGTTTGGGGCTCAATGCGGATGAAGTGGGAAAGTCGAGTGACTGTGGGCTTAAGAGGGCTTAGGAGAGCTTGGGAGGGCTTAGGTCTCGGCAACTCGGAACGTCTGTCTAATCAAGGAAAGGTCGGGTTTGGAATAATTACCTCTCGTATTCTATTACGACCCCTATATATTTATAGTGTAATAAACCCTAAAGCCCGATTCTGACAGGGATTCTGAGGGAATGACATGGCAATTCTCTGCATGGGAAAGCCTGGCGTCAAAGAGCCTGGGCAAACGCAAGCCCTTGCAAACTCAGAGTAAACGACATCCTTCACATTGAAAGATGTCGCCACACGGGGGTTTACGAAAATAGGGGACCCCTGACACAGACCCCCAAAGAGTAGGATCCCCTTAAAACTAAGGACCCCAATAAGGTACCCCTAATTTCGGAAACCCCACATGCAGCTTCACTTCCCCATTCATCCAGGCCACCGTTGCCATCTGGCGTGCAAGCTCCTGCGCAGACCGGGTGGGATTAGAATGCTCCCTAAACCCTAAACCCTAAAACAATAAAACAATAAATCTAAAACCTACTCCCTACTCCCTACTAAACCCCCTAAACCCTAAACCCTAATTCTGAACTGACACACCCGAAAACCCCTGCAAGCCCCTAAAGCCCCGAAGGTGCCTACACCCCGAAAAACCTCTGAAGCCCTGGAACCCTCTAAAACCTCCAAAACCCCCAAAACCTGCGAATAATACTGTAAACCAAAAACCCAAAACCCCAAGCCCCAAACCCTGAACCCCAAACCCTACACCCTAAACCAGCAGCCAGACTCCTTGGAACCAGCTCACGGCGCCAAGCCAGGTGAGGTGCCGAGCTAGCGCTACCTGGGCGAAGGGCTAGCACCTATCCGCAGAGGGTTTAAGGGCTTAGGGTTTCGGATTTCGGATTTAGGGTTTGAGGGTTTTGGCTTCGGATTGAGGGCTTAGGGCTTAGGGTGGCGATTCGCGTGGCCCCTATACATCACAATATGTAATTGGTATCACCCCACCCTCCCAGAACCCCCTTCCATTCTGCGGCGGAGGGGCCAGGAACCCCCACGCTTGGAAGAGCTTTCTGAGGAGCTCAAAACCCCAAAGCCACGAATGAGCCGTCCCCACCCCCCCCCACTCCCCCCCCCCCCCCCGCCCTAGCCCTACCCCCGCCCCAGCCGCCCCCAAAACCTGTACGGTAAGAGGGCACTGAGACAAAACCCGCTACCTTGGTGAGAGCCCTGAACAGGTGAGGAAGGGTTTTGGCTTTCGGTGGTTTGAGTCCCCTTGGGTCGGGTTTCCTGACGTAGTCAGGTAGCAGAACTGGTCGGGGAGCCGGAGCACGTGGTGTCCCCATACTCCTTCGAGTGTTGCGGCTTGGGTTCAGGTTTTGGGTTTTCGGGCCTGGGGTTTAGGGACATAACCCACACCCCTGAGAAAAACGTCCGCCCTGAACCCCAACCCTGAAAGCCAAACAAGTCATCTAAATCCTGGACTCCAAACACAGACACCCTAACCCGCAAAACGCCAATCCCCACCCAAAAACCCAAGTCTCCTCAAACCCCCAGACAACAAACCGAGCGCCCCTCCCAGCGGCAGCTCCTCGAGCATGATGCCGCTTCCTGTCGCATACTCGCAGGTCAGCCTGGGCTTTCGGCCTAGAAGGGTTTAGGGTGTAGGGTTTGGGGCTTAGGGTTTAGGGTCTAGCACCCTCCTTGCACTCGACAGGGGCTTCAGGGCTTTGGGGCTTCAGGGCTTGAGGGATGGTGTGTTCACCCTTATACTAACAGCCTAACAGTCCTGAATAGGGATTATACTACCCTGGATAATCCCTATTAAGGACTGTTAGTATAAGGGGGAACATTTAGGGGTTTAGGGCTTAGGGGCTTTAGTAGGGGATCCGAAGTGTGGACCCTTCTTTTGTGGGTCCCCTGCTATTTAACCGTTACAAACACTAAGCATAATGAGGGTTAGATAAGGCATGGGATTTCGGTTTTTCGGGCTTAGGGGAGCCCCATGTTGGGGCATGATCTTCAGCTTCAGGGTTTAGGGTTTTCGGGTGTTGGGGGCTGGTGTTTAGGGCTTAAAATGATTTAGGATGGTTCCTCTATGGGGTGCTTAGGGCTTTTTGGATGTTGCATTGTGGGTTCTCGGGGGCACGGGGGGTTAGGAGTCCTAGCAGCAACCCCACAAGAACCCCAAGAACATCTGTGTTAAAGCTACCCTAAATCCTAAACCCGAAACCCTAAACCCTGAACCCTAAACCCTGAGAACCCTAAACCCTGAGAACCCTAAACCCTGAGAACCCAAAAAGGGAACTTCGGGTTTACGGCATTTAGGGGACTTGGCCCCCTCCGCCGGGCGGCTTCACGTTGCAGCGAAACTGGCAGTGCATGCCAACCTCGGCCCGGGTTTACGGGGGGTTTGCAGGGTTTCGGTGGCTTGGGGCGGCTCGGGGCTTTCGGGGTTTTGGGGTGGTTTAGGGTTTTAGGGTTTTAGGGTTTTAGGGTTTAGGGTTTAGGGTTTAGGGTTTAGGGTTTAGGGTTTAGGGTTTAGGGTTTAGGGTTTAGGGTTTAGGGTTTAGGGTTTAGGGTTTAGGGTTTAGGGTTTAGGGTTTAGGGTTTAGGGTTTAGGGTTTAGGGTTTAGGGTTTAGGGTTTAGGGTTTAGGGTTTAGGGTTTAGGGTTTAGGGTTTGGGGTGTAGGTTTTTTTCGGGCTTTGGGGCTGCAGGCTGGTTGTAGGGTTGAGTGCGTCACAAGCTAACAGGGCCCTGCAAGGCTGAGCGGGGGCTTTGGGGGCGTAAGTAGAGAGGCGCGTTATGCACTGGCTCATTGCCAATATCATCTCCGCATGATCCCACATGTACATGTGTATGCATACATACATACATACATACATACATATATATATATATACATGTATATATGCATATATGGATGTATATATAGATGTATAGGTTGCCTTGTCAAAAGTGCACGATATGCATATATACATATGAACATATGAAATGCATATATACATATGAACATATATGAATATACACTACGAGTACCCACAAAACCCAAATCACTCTCGACTCGCTTTCATCGCATCGACTTCGCATTAAACAGGCCCCTGTATTAAGGCTCCTTGCTGCCACGGCTCGTTAACATCGTAGCAGATCGAATTTGTCAAAGGTAGCTGCAACCAGCTCTGCTGGACGCCCTCCCCTGTATCCAGGACCTTGCCTCAGGCTACAAAGGGTGTGGGGTTTAGGGATTTCGCGTACAGTGTCTATAGGGCTATTCACCAGAAAGTACGAGGGCTCATGAATCTAGGCTACCTTACATTCGTTCATGAAGGGCTTTCAGGTCGAGAGTGTTTGGTTGAGATTCAGAGTTTGGGCTCACAACATGGTTGCTGTCAACTAACTCTTCAGCAACACCTGCGCAACTAAACCTTTTGGGCCCAAAATTCTGGAATAGTAGGAATTCAGAGCCCAAAGCAGCCTTGTTGTTGTGCGCGGCAGGACCATGAGTCTAATAAAGCTTCCCTAAAATCTAAAGCCTAGACCCCAAACCAGAAAACCAGAAACCCGAAACCCTGAACCCTAAACCCTAAACCCTAAACCCTAAACCCTAAACCCTAAACCCTAAACCCTAAACCCTACAGGGATGCTCGGCTACATTCTCAGCATCACTCCCAAACCCTCCAACCGGAATGCCCAGATCCCTCAGCATTAGGGCTTAGGGCTTAGGGCTTAGGGCTTAGGGCTTAGGGCTTAGGGCTTAGGGCTTAGGGCTTAGGGCTTAGGGTTTAGGGTTTAGGGTTTAGGGTTTAGGGTTTAGGGTTTAGGATTTAGGGTTTAGGATTTAGGGTTTAGGGTTTAGGGTTTAGGGTTTAGGGTTTAGGGTTTAGGGTCCCTCCATTCATTTTGAAGCCCAAAATTCAAAAAACCTCGAACCACCCCTTGGCAAGCCAGCCGCAGGCGGCATCCGTGTAGCGAAACAGGACGAGGTTGATGACTTCCTCCAGGTGCTGAGGCCATCAACCGTAAATCTCCGAACCCCCAAAAAAGTGCGCTAACCCTTTAAAACCGATGAACTCATCTCGGGCCCAAACCTCGAGCCGACCCGAATTTAGGGTTTAGGGTTTAGGGCTTTTGGACCTTTGGGCTTTGGGTGCCGCGGCTTCGGGCTTGCCTGAGGTCTTAGACCGAACTCCCAAGCACCTCTACAGCAACCTTCCGAGAAATTCCAGTCCTGTCCCATGGCTGCAGGTAGAAAGCATAGAAACCACCTCTGACAGGGACAGTGTTCAGTGCATTCCGTTTGAGCTTTCAGTGGTTTGCTCGTGCTATCTCAGCTATGGCGCGGGAGGGGGGGGGGGGGGTGGTAACATTGAGGGATTGCATGTCTTGAGTCATGGGTTTTGCTTGAAAGGCCCTAAGTCATCGGGCGAACAATTGATTAAAGAACAGCCCCTACATGTCCAATCTGCAGGTCCTCGGGCGCTGGGGTCGGCAGAGGGGCTCTGGTGTAGGCACTTGGGCTTTGGGTTTTGGGTTTTGGGTTTAGGATGGGGTTTAGAGTTTAACCCCATAAGAACCAGGGGGGCGGAGTGCTCAATTCCAGTTGAAACCTGAGCAGCACCTGCAGCTGAGAAGTTGTACACACCCTCCCCACAACCTCTCCAGAGCACGCTTCGGTTTGGGCACATACCCTACATACCTAAGGTGCCCCAAAGCAACCTCTGTATGATCCTAAACCCTAAACCCTAAACCCTAAACCCTAAACCCTACACCCTAAACCCGGTTTCCATAAGTTCCAATGCCCCGACCTCCGAATCATGGCCGTCCGCCCCTCTCGACCCTTTGGGTGTGGAGACCTGAATCATGGAGGGTTTAGGGTTTAGGGTTTAGGGTTTAGGGTTTAGGGTTTAGGGTTTAGGGTTTAGGGTTTAGGGTTTGGGGTTTGGGGTTTGGGGTTTGGGGTTTGGGGTTTGGGGTTTGGGGTTTGGGGTTTAGGGAGGTGTTTGCAGCGTTTAGGGGCTTCGGGCTTCGGGTCGAGGGTTCAGGGCCTAAACGTGTAGGAGAGTCTTGACGGCTGACGGTCCAAAAGGGCTAGTGGCTTGCAAGGTTTGTAGGTCTGGGTCTGGTGTTATAGGCCGGGTCGCCGCTAGCTTCGGGTATCCGCTTCTACGAGGCTCATGAAGTCGTTTTTGGACACGCGTTTGAGAATCGTTTAGAATTGAGGATTTATTATGACTCAGGTTTAAGCTTGGAGGTTTCAGTGCCCTAGGGCGTGCACAGTCTCGGAATTCGAGGGCCATGCAGGTCTCTTCTGCCATGAGCCTCCCTTTTGCTCCACGTCAAGATCCTGAATCCCAACTCCTCTGACTCCACGAACCCAAGCACTCAAGGGTGGTTTCCGAAACTAGAGGTACCTTATTGGGGTCCTTATTATAAGGGAATCCTACTATTTGGGGGTCTATATTAGGGGTCCCCTTGTTGCCAAGGCAAAAACCTCTTTTCTCACTTCCGGCCTCGGGCGCTGCTCACCGCGCAACAACGCGCCAGACGCGAAGCTTGCGAGCTGAGACTACTGTTGATGCAACTGTTGACTGTGAGGCTGCTTGCTGGTCATTCTCGATGTGCATGCGATTTCTTCTGGAAGTCTGGACAATGGCGAAGAAAAACACCCAAGTTGCTCGCAAGCTTGAGTGGCCAGCTGAGCCATACAGTGACCTACCAGGCTACTGCACTAGACCAGCTTGATGACTCGAAAGCCTGGTGTGATGTATAGGTCTGCAAAAATCCCTGAGCGGGTGGCTGCAGGGATGTAGGCGCTTCTCAAGCATGGAAATACCAGCTCCCATTCAACACAATGCATGAACCTGAAACCCTCCAAATCCGGTGGCGTTTGCTATCCCAAAACTTAGACCCGAAAACCGAAAAAAAAAAAAAAAAAAAAAAAAAAACTAACCCTGAGCCCTACGCCGACCTCTAAGCCAATCTGGAATGTAGGAGTTTGTATTAGTATTGTCGTCCATGCATACGGAGGCGGCATGGCTTCAGCGACGAGGGCCATAAGCCCCACAGTTTGCTACAGATCCTACCCCGAACCCAAACCAACAGCTCTACTTACACCGATTGGATGACCTCACGACTACGACATGACTCTAAACCCTCAGCCCGACTGGAAAAGCCTACACGTCTAGCCCTAAGCCCTAACCCTGCAATCCCCAATTCTAAACCCTAAAACCCTACACGCCTAAAACCCTAAAACGCCAAAACACCCTTAAACCCTAACACGCCAAAACCCCCTTATACACCCTAAACCCTAAACCCTAAAACCCTGAAGCCCTATATAAAGACCACCCTAAACCCTAAACCCTAAACCCTAAACCCTAAACCCTAAACCCTAAACCCTAAACCCTAAACCCTAAACCCTAAAAGCCCAAACCCTCACGCTCCTTCTTCCCGGGCCACCGCGCCCGCGCGATCCTCCCGAGCATCGCGGCGTAGCGTTGGCCGGGCTCCAGGGACTGGCAGCTTCTTGGGGTCGACAAAAGGGATTGGGGCTTGGGGTTTAGGGTTTAGGGCTTGGGGTTTGGGGTTTAGGGTTTAGGGTTTAGGAATTTGGGGCTTCGGGTTTGTTTTTGTGGCTGCCGTGCGCATGAGGGCAACGCGTCGGCGCAGATTCCGGGAAAGACGGGAAGTTGAGGGTGCCGAGTTGGCATGTGTTTAAGACCTAGGAAGTCGGTACACGATTCTCCGCCCCTCCGTGCTGACGGAATGTCGTGACCTTTAGTGCTTAAGGATGGGGAGGGCACACTCCGTACTGAGCTGCAACCAGTTGGATGACCAATGTGTGAGCATTTCGCGATTCTATCCTGTAACCGTGGTCCCAGGAGACTTGAGAACCCAACTATTTGGTCGAGGTGGTTGTAGAAACAGGAGAACCATCAGCAAAAGTAAGAAGCTGTAGGGCATCGGCGGTGTGCTCAAGTAACACCTGACTTACTTTGCTACGCAACATGAGGGATAAGGGTTCAGGGTTTAGGGTTTAGGGTTTAGGGTTAGGGTTTAGGGTTTAGGGTTTAGGGTTTAGGGTTTAGGGTTTAGGGTTTAGGGTTTAGGGTTTAGGGTTTAGGGTTTAGGGTTTAGGGTTTAGGGTTTAGGGTTTAGGGTTTAGGGTTTTAGGTTTAGGGTTTTGGGTTTAGGGTTTAGGGTTTAGGGTTTAGGGTTTAGGGTTTAGGGTTTAGGGTTTAGGGTTTAGGGTTTAGGGTTTAGGGTTTAGGGTTTAGGGTTTAGGGTTTAGGGTTTAGGGCTCAGGGTTTAGGTTTTAGGGCTCAGGTTTTAGGGTTTAGGGTTCAGGGTTTACGCTTCGGATTTCGAGGGTCTATCGCGCTGATGAGGGCTGGTAGCGGCCTTGTAGTCTTTACAGGGGGCTTCTAGGAATCAGAGCGTTTACATGGTCTTTCAAAGTGCTTGTAGGGTTTCGGGGGCTGAGGCTTAGGGTTTGGAGGCGCAAGGGCTGCGGTGTTAAAGGGTTAAGACTCGAGGGATAGCGATTCAGCTAGGGCTCAGGGTCTTTACGGGCTTAGGAGTCTAGGGTTCAGGGTGTTTTATGAGTTTGGGGTGAGACTGCCAGACTGCAAGAAGATGGCAGCAAGGCAATCCCAGAACCTCAAGTGCAGCTTGCATCCTAAAGCCGAATCCCAAAGGGACAAAACAAGAACTGAAACCCTCGCCCCTGAACCCTAAACCCCTCAACCCTCCACCACCTCGCCTCCTCCCCCTCGGCCACGAGGACTTCGCTGGACGCCGCGCCGTGAGCTTCGCGATCCTCCAGAGGTGAACTTCGGACTTCAGGGTTGAGGGATTTAGAGCTTAGGGGTTTGGGGTTTAGGGTTTAGGGCTTGGGGTTTAGGGTTTAGGGTTTCGAGGGCTGCAGAGCTTTTTGGGGTTAAGGGTTGAGGGTTGAGGGCTTTGCGTTCAAGAGTTGAGGGTTTATGTGGGGATGCGGGGGCAGGGCTTGGAGTACTGAAGGCCTTGCCTACGCCTCTGGGGTTGGCAGCCTGAGCCAGAGTTTTGGCTTGAGGGGTGGGAATTTAGGAATTTAGGAATTTAGGAATTTAGGAATTTAGGAATTTAGGAATTTAGGAATTTAGGAACTTAGGAATTTAGGAATTTAGGAATTTAGGAATTTAGGAATTTAGGAATTTAGGAATTTAGGAATTTAGGAATTTAGGAACTTAGGAATTTAGGAATTTAGGAATTTAGGAATCTAGGAATTTAGGAATTTAGGGTACTGAGGGCTTAAGGGTTTAGAAGGCCTGGGGCTTAAGGCATGTTGGAGGTAGGGATTGAGGGCTTCGGGGGTGAGGGGTAAGGGTGCGTAGATGCTCAGGTTTGCGAAGCTTTGGGCCTTTAGGGTTTTTTAACGTTAAACAACCCTAAATGTTCAGGGGCCACACTATGACAGGGACCCACAAAGCGGCCCGAGGCTTCGTTTCTTCTATTTTGCAGTCCCCTGCTGGGAGGTCTCTTTTATTGTGTGCTACTCACAGTTGATACTGCCCGTGACCATAGGACTCTGGCAAAGGAAGCCCCAGCGTGACCATGCCAGGGACCATGGAAAGAAATTAGGGCACATGAGCCTATTCCTCCCCCCCCCACCTCCGGCAGAGCCGTGATGAGAAGTTGATCTTTTTGTAATCCCGTATAGGAACAAGAGTCTTGTTACAAGAATAGCAAAGAACTTCTAGGGGCATCTCTTTCAGATCCTGTGACGTGTATCCAAACCCAAACCCCATATGAGGGTAAGGGTTTTATACTACTGCCTTGGTTATTTAGGGTTCCTTATGACTGTTGTCCTTCTGGGGATGCGAGCGATGAAGCCCCTACTTCGTACGGGTATTTCCCAAAATGAGGGCAGCACCTAATCCCCACCAAAATACTCATGACAAGGAACCCCAAACCTCCCCAAACCCTAAACCCTAAACCCTAAACCCTAATTAAACCCTAAACCCTAAACCCTGAGCTACTTGCGGAAAACCCCCATTGAGGGGCCCGAATCCTCCCAAGAAGCGCCTTAGGGGAAACCTCCTCGGACGCCGAGGACGCAGCGCCAGCACCTTGAGTCTAGGGCGTACGTAGGGCTTAGGGCTTAGGGTTTAGGGTTTCGGGTTTAGGGTTTAGGGTTTGGGGTTTAGGGTTTAGGGTTTAGGGTTTAGGGTTTAGGGCATTGGGGGATTCCATGGCTTG